GTGGGAGAACTTGCACAATTGGTGGCTGACTAAATACTTTTTTGCCCCACTGTATGTCTCTAATCTCAAAAACATTTTTTCTTCCCACAAGCATGCATTTATTCTTTAAAAATTATTTCAAAGTCTTAATATTCAAAATCCAATATTCCAATGTTTTCTGAGCCCTTGATCCATTTAAAACTTCTTGTAGCCAAAACCCTATCTTGCTTTTTGCTGTTTATTTTAAATTCTTAAATGTTATAAAAAAAGAACTTCATATTCTTATATTAAGGACTGAAGGCTCTCACTGGGTATTTTCAGCCTTGTCACTTTGAGGGTGTCTTAACTTCTTTGAAGCAGTTAATGGGCAGTTTCTGAAGGTAGTTAGCAAGGGAGGTGGGTGAACTTAGCCTCCTTTGAAAAGCCTCTGTTTGTGGCTGAAGCAATTATGGTGAATTCCCTTGTCTCCTGATTGCCCCCCTCCGTCTTGTGGTCTCTTTGTGAGGACCAACTGTAAGGAGAAACAGCTTGGGCCCTCTTGCATCCTCTCTTTCCAGAGAGGGGTGTAGGAGCTGATCTACTCATCGGCTCCCTTATTCATGGCCACAAACGTTGGCTCCGCATTCAGCAGGAGCCGTCTTCAATCCACCATCTTCCCCAGAAGTCTGATCCAATACATAATTATCCTTGGAGCAAGAAAAAGAAAGTTTACAGGACCAAAAAAAAGTTGCCGTGAGCTGTTCTGAAGGGCTGAATCCCAGCTGATGCTTGGGGGCATTTTAGTATATCAGAACATCGCCACCACCATTTCTGTGTGACACTTCTGAAATTGTAATAAGGGCATCAGATGCATTCTAAGCAGGGAGTTGGAGAGGGCTACTCTCCGCCTGCTTGGGATCTTCAGCTGCTGCATCCTCTCTTTCTATTCCCTGCCGTGGCGGTAGCATAGAGTTGCTTCTGTTGGCTGGGGAAAAGTCCCTTCAAAGGCAAAAAGGCTGATGAATCTGATCAGGCCAGTCTGAGGAAAGGCTTATTAAAATAGGGGACCAGGAGCAACTTCCCATCTTCACAAGCAGTCCATGGCTTAGAATCCAAATGGAAACGCTAATGTCTTCCAGGGAAGAGGATTCCCCAGTTTGAATGTTGTTCATGCTTAAAGAGCAAAATCAAGCTTGTGAGCAACGTCAAAAGTAATTCATCCAAATGAATATCTACTTTAGTGGCAAAGATTGTATCTGGCTTTGTTAATACAAAGATTTTGCTTCTAATTCTCACAGGCCAAGAGGTCTACGTGTCTCAGGATGAAAACGGTTTTGATTTTAACATCTGAAATATACATTTCTCCAAATGGAAAATGTACAGATAAAGCAGGCTTTGGGAGAACCCTCACCATTACCTACCATTATTTCACATGTCTGAAGGTTCTCCATCGCTCCATCCAACAATCCCCCTTTTTGCCTTAACCAACATGACCAGAAAAACATTTTGAGACTCAGAAGCTGGTAAAAAATTTGTAATAATGATATTACCTCTCTGAGCTTTGGATCTTTTTCATCAGCCCATGTGGCTTTTATTGCTCTTTGCCAGATGGTGTGCCACCTTTAACGTTTCCAGACTTAGAACTGGCTGTTTTAAGTTGGAGCACTTCAGTGATATTGAAGCTGCCCATTTCGCCAATGAAACAGCTGTCTCAAGTTTAAAATGGGCTATTTTGGGGTCAAAATATTTGTACATCTAAAAGTTGGTAAAGCCAGTTCAGATAAGAGTTCCTGGTGGTGGTCAGCCGTGCACTCTCAAGAAACGGAATTCCTGTATCAGCAGTGTAAAATGTTCCTCTACCTGTCTAGGATTTTGCTGTTGAGTGGGTAAACTTTCGATTACCCAAGTTACATAAAAAAAATAGGGCTTATGTTGACCATGGCAAAAGAAAATCCCGGCTGTGATTTCTTGTTCCAGAGTCCACTGTTCTTTCTTTTTACAAGGGTGCTGGAACTCTTAAAATCATTACTGTAGGTGACTTTCTTTACCTATTAGAAATTAATGGTGGTGTTTAAGTGATCAGTACAGTGGTGTGGGATTTGTTTCTTCAGTGCTTGGCTTGATTGGATTTAAACATTGAAACTTTATTTAAAATCTCAGACACTTGGGTCAGGATGCATAATTTTCATCTGGGGGGATATAACAAATGGGAGTCCACGGTTGCCAATGAATTATTCTAGTTGTTTTAGTTGCTTTTTTTCTTGGCAATTTTGCTTACTGGTTTTTCTACACTGCTCAGAGTCATGTTTGAGATGCATGGCCATATAAGTGCTTTAAATACATAAAAAATAAGCAAGTAGCTTGTGTGAATTCTGCTAATTCTAATTATTTTAATAGGCCACTATTGTGACAGGCAAGAAAGTATGGTCACAAAAATAGTAAAGGAGCAGAAATGTGAGAATTCATTTAATATATGGAATTTTGATTGCAGTCCCTCCATTCTTCTATACAACTCAAATGACCTCATGAGCGAGAAAAAGGTTTCTTATTTTGAGTTGGAAGTTAGATTGAAAGCAATGCTGAGGCAGGTATTCAATTTTCATAATCAAAATGTACTATGATTTTCTAAAAATTGTGAAAATTAGTGTACTGTCCTGAGCTTTCCTTCAGAAAATATAATTGATTGTCTTTTCCAGCCATCTCATGTCTGAGTATGTGCGAATGTCAGACACTGACCGGGATCAGATTGACCAAGATGCCCAAATCTTCATGAGAACCTGTGCTGATGCAATTCAGCAACTAAGAGCAGAAGGTAACGTGAGATAAATATGGGGATTTAGCCAGATGGGTGAAGGGTTCTCTTGAGAAAAATAACATTCTGTATCTTTTCCTTTTAGCACACAAGGACATCCATTCCCCACAAGTGAAGCAGCACCGAGAAACTGTCTTGGATTTCATTGCAGACTATTTAAAAAGTATCAGTTTTTCTTGAAATAATAATACTTGTGTTTATGTGCTTTGTCAAAATTAGTTTTTGTTGTTATGGCCAGCTTAATTAGGATCATTTTCAGAAATTATTTTCTGTTCTGCATGTGGGCCAATTGAAAAGCAAGCTCTCTGCGTGTCCAGTAATAGAGCCTTGGTCCCTTTTGTTAATTTTCTGGAAGTGTTTGGCTGGCAACTGTGTGAACTGAAGCAGCAGCCTGGTGGAACACAGTTTCTGTGAACGGTGGACTTGATATAAAACTGAGTAGTTGTATAAAAAAAAAAAAAAGCTTTTCAACTGGTTGGGAAGATGCAAAGGATTCTCAAGAAGTCCACATTATTTTCAGCGGACTTGTTGAGTGGAAAATCCATGACAGTGTTTAAAACAGTAGAAAACGTTTCATTTCATTAGCATCCATTTTTAATAATACCTCCATTTTATTCTAGTGCTGAAACAATTTTCTACCTCCTAATTCTTGAAATCTATCTATGTGCTCACTAGGAGTTGAAAATGACTTGGTGGCACATGATAAATCAATCAGTTCTTGAAATAATTTATCCTCTTTTCTCCAGATAAGGTATAAAATTGACATATAGCTAATAACAGAGTCAAATATTTTATTTTCCATAATTTAATTGGTATTTTCTTTTTTAACCAATGTTGGACTAGCAATTATCTTGCTGCTCTTAAAGGAAACTGGAAAACAAATTTGATATCCATTTTTGTGTCAAGTCCTTTTAAGCAACCTAAAACTATTTCATTAATTTTAGAAGCAGAGTAAGACAATGCAATTTTTAAAAAGCTCAGTGTGTTTCCTATTGTGTATTATTGCAGTAACCCTTATCGTACAAGGTACGCCTTCAGTGTCGCCCCTGTATTCACAGTGTTGCAGGTCAGAAACACTTATGTAAGGTACTTTAGCTCAAAAGTTTCACCACGACATTATCCCAAATAGATTTGGAAAAGATAGCCAATTATAAGTTTAAATAGAGATTTTTGTAACAAAGAAAAGTAAATGATCAGGTCTGGGAGGTTTTTTTGTGGTTATGTATAAAATGAGAAATAGAAAAGAATAATTTAAATGATCAAGCTAAATTCATCTTCTTATCCAGAAAAAGGAGTTGGTTTATTAAATTATAAAAATTGCAACAAAAGAGATAAGCAGCCATGATTTATAAAATGGAAATAGTGTGGGAACTACTATTTTGTATAAACCATTCTTCAAAAAAAAAAAAAAAAGAGGGGAGGGCATGTAATAAAATAGAGTTGGCAATAAATTTGAGAACATAAGATCATACCCTAAGTATAGAGAACTCATAACCACAGACGTATCAGTGGCTATTGGTTACCAGTGTTTCTCAACCTTGGCAACTTAAGGTGTGTGGACTTCAACTCCCAGAATTCCCCAGCACAGATCAGTCTCTGACAGTTTGCCATGCTGCTTAAAAAATAGTCCAGAAGGATCATGTCTAGTTTGTGAACTTCTCCAGAGTAGCTGGGTTGCGCAGATGGAATCAGGATTCAGAATGCAAAGCTAGAGTACAGTATGTGACTGTATGCATTTTTTTCCTTTTCTCTTGTGTTGCTTTGCTCTCTTTAAAGGAGTGTGTAAGCTGTATTCAGAACAAAGAGCAATACGGGTCAAGCGAGTAGTTGATAAAAAGAGATTGTAAGTATTTGTTTTACATCAAAGACTTGTGTTGGAAGCTCTTATCACATTTCTGTGCAAACTTCTTGCTCTTTCAGAAGGCAGTTTTAATTTGTTTCCAGTATTCTGATGCTGTTTAGTAATGTCATATAAAACCTAACAAGCATTGAAAAGGTTTCTTTTTAAACTTAAGTAGAATTTTATATAGATTTTTTCCTTTTGCTTTCATATTTGTTTTGCAGTGTGATATGTATAAGGATCATTTAAGCCTCTTGTTGTATTCTCACTGAATTCAATGGGATTTCTTTTTAAATAGTTACACGTAAGATTATACAATATTGCTAATTCAGCACGGAAAGTAACTGTATACAATAATAAGGGAAAATGATATACAGTGGAACCTCGGTTTACGAACTTAATTCGTTCCGTGACTCTGGTC